ATGTAAAATTAGTGTTATAATGAGTGTGCGTGAAAGCAAGGAGCCCATTCATTTGGAATGAAGTAGAGGTTATGGCTGTTATTTGGTTAGTGCATGCAATGAGGTGTGTGCGTTTTCTTACGACGGAGTGTGCGTCTTTTGGATTAGTTAGACGGTGTGTTGCGTTTGTTCACGTCGGTATGTGCGTGTGTTTATTATATGCGGACATGGCAGCTGATGGACAACCAGTGGGTGTATTTTTCCAGGTGGTGTTGTCATGGCGTGCAATAGAAGGGTTTTGATGCAATGTGACATTCTTCAAGGGTCCGGCAATTATTTTTATAATAATGGATGGCAGTCAGTGAATGAAATGGGGTCTGTGCGTTTTTTAACGACGGAGTGTGCGTATTTGGTAGTAGTAATATGGTGTGTGCGTTAGTTCACGTCGGCATGTGCGTTTGTGTCTTATATGTGGTCTGTGCGTGATGACGAATAAGATGTACATTTTATTACAAAGATCTAATGTAATGGTTGTGATTATTTTATGCAAGTGAATATTATATTATTCATAACATCTTATGGACTAACGTATTGGTGTGTGACTTACAGACAACTTTGAAAATAATGATGAGGGGAGGGACTGTGTTACGGAGGTACCACCGGGTAGCACGATGGTTTGGATACCAGAGTGTGATCCATGTCTGAAAACATTTGAAGGAAAAGTATTTGAGTCATTAGATGCCGGAATTGATTTCTATATAAAGTATGCGGCAAACACCAGATTTGATGTGCGGCGCAGTTCTGATGAAAAGAAAAAATACGGAACAATATTGAGAAAGCAATTGGTGTGCTCTCGAGAAGGTTTTAAGGGGTCGACTAGTATAGTAGCATCTACAATTAAAGGAACAAAACAACAAAAGCGGCGACGTACGACTAACAGAGTCGGGTGTCGGGCGAGGATCGCATTCAAAAGCGGAAATAGTATCATGTCATCCACATCTAGCCCATTATCCTCCTCGTCAGAATTCGTGACCGGTGGCGGAACAGGGCGTGCTTCAACATCCTCGGAGGGCATCACATGTACAGCCTCTACCGCATCTACCGGCTCTGCAGCCGTGACACCTAGACATACCAAAAAAAATGCACTATGAGCAACAAAAAGTTACCACATAACTGATTAAAAAATAACCAAACTCATGAGCACCATTAAAGATACCTTACATACCAAAAAAAAAAAAAAAAAAAAAACCAAAACAAAAAACAAAATATATTCCGGATACATAAAACAAAATCAACATTAATGAACCCCAACTTCAAATATGTCCTACAAAGCGCACAAACTTCAAAATATAACGTCACGCACAAACCTAAAACGTATAACGCATCAACGAATTCATAATTACATTATTACGCACAAACCTCATACCAATAACGCACACACTAATTCCTAGTAAAAATACGATGAAAAATATTATAATAAATGAGAACATGACAAGGCTTGAATGATAAAATGTACCCTATATACCCCCCCCCCCCCCCCCCCCCCCCCCAAAAAAAAAAAAAAGAAACAAAAAACAAAATATATTTCGGATACTTAAAACAAAACCAACATTAATGAACCCCATCAAATATGTCCAACAAACCGCACACACTTCAAATATAACATTACGCACAAGCCTAAAACGTATAACGCATCAACGAATTACTAATCACATTATTACGCACAAACCTCATACAAATAACGCACACTACTTACTACTCCCATATGCTACACAAAATTTAATGTGGAATAAACAGATGTAAATCACTATAAGCTAAGGTGGATTTGATGAATGGGAAACGAATTAAATGAGAATATTAAGTTTATAGAAACAAACTAAAATATAATATATCAATTCAAGTATTCTAAATAATAACACCAATTTTACGAATAACTCATTAAACGAAATACCAATATCTAACCATCAGTTTTATTAACATTAAATATCTAAGTCTTTCCATTTCCAAAAACCACTTTCATTTAAATCAAGAAGGAAAAGGCTGGTTGCTAATGGGGCTACACATAGAGGTAGATTTTGATCCAAGACATCTGATCTATAGCTACAAGCAAATGAACTACTTGTTCACTGTTGGAAATTGGAATGATAATTCTTATTCAAAGCATGTTTATGGTATGGGTAAAGGGGAAGGTAACAGGGGGATATAGAGGTTTAGATGATATTGGAAGGAGTATGCTAAATTTTAACTAAGTAGGAAGATGGATATGGAAATAAGGTCAGCCGAGGGTTTGAGGATGGGGATTATACTCCCAGCCCATACTATGACAGGCCACATTGCCATCTCTTATTGGAGGAAGGTTTAGCTAGCTTGAATTCTTTCTTTTCTAGTGAAATTACTACCACAACATTCTTTGCATGCCTTCTCCTGTTCTCCAAGTTAATATATGCAATAATTCATGTTTCACTGATTTTATATAAAAAGGTTTGTTTCACAATTGACAACCTTCCTGATCTAGACATTTTTTCTTCTTTTGTTTTTCCTATTATCTTCATATTATATAAGTTAATTATTGTTTAATCAATTGTTCATAATCAGTATCAGTTGTAAAAACTCAAAATCCATGACATGAAACAGATACTCCACTTTGGAGAGTAGGACCAGAAGAAAATCCATTCCTGTGCAATGCATGTGGATCAAGATGGAGGTTAAGGGGAAATCTCAATGATTATGTTCCAAAACATGGAATTAGAGATGCAAGTGGTAATATTCACAAATTACCTTCCAAGAAGCATGCTGTCAGAATCACCTCTCAGCAAAAGTTGAGAGCAGGAAAAATGCCTAAAGGGAGTGATCTGCGTCCCACATCTCCTAAAGAGGGGGAATTTAGCATTTCAAGCTCAGAAGCTATTAGAACTACAGACTACAGACTGGTTTAACACCGGATTAAGAAGAAGAAGAAGAAGAAGAAAAAAAAAAAAAACCTGCCAAACCCTAGCACCTCTACCCACACCCCCACCATCCAACCGACCCCCTACGCAACCTACAGACCAACACCACACCGCCACACCACACCATTACCCCCCCAACACCGTCGATAACCCCCCCCCCCCACCCTAAAAAACCCCATCGCCGGGAACATACCTACCGGACGAAGATAGAAAAAACCCTAATACCCCAACATCGCCACGCCCCACCACAACAACCACAATCAAACCCCTGCATGCCCCCACCCCACTCGGACCAAAACCCATCCGGGAAACCAGAGACCCACACAAAAAATACTAGGAAGCCAGAATACCTTGAGTGGATCCGGAAGAACTACCCCTCTGACGCTTAACATGCCTGCAAGAAGAACCCTCCATGTACACCAACCACTTGGGCGACTAGGACAGACCGGAAAAGGAGAGGACCACGGTCGCAAAACACCAAAGACTCACTGCTAGCGTTGGAATCGGACAAAAACCTCGAGTCGCAGGGTGGAGATAAGTGATAGAATAAGAAGTGAATCGACAGGGGTGATGTGAAGAGTCTGGTTAGAATTATAAAACTTGAAATTGATTTCATCCCAAAAATAACGCACGAAACTTCCAACACATGCGCGCTATAATTAAGGAATCAGAAATAATTACACAATCAAAATACCAGAATGCCCCTACCTCCTTTGCAAAACATCAGCACATGGGATCCAAAACCAAAAGATCAAAACCGTTAAAAACTAAAAATAAACGAACCAGATGACATCTCACCGTCTCATCAAATTATGGGTCTCATTGGATCCAATATATATATATATATATATATATATATATATATATATATTTACTAATGATAAGTTAAAATAATAATAATAGTTGAATTAAAATAAATGTTTAACTCTGATAATAAAGTAATATTAAATTCATTAAAATATTAAAAATATAGAGGTGAAACTATGCCAGACGACAATCACGTGGATATATTTCTTTGTCAAATCAGTCACGCAAGACGAATGGGATTCCAAGCACTAATTGCGAGAGGTGGCCACGGGCCGGTTCTGGATAGAGTCAGTCTTGAACTTACCCAAAAAAAATTGGGTCTGGGCTTCATCAAGCCTACCCTGAAGAGGGACCAGTTTGTACAAGGCCGGTCCAGGTCCTATTAAAAACAAGCCCGGTGCCCAACTTGAAACTGGTCTGGAACCGAGTTCATGCACAGCCCACGCCCCTAACCAGTCCCGGCACGGCCTAAATCAAGGCAAATTATGCTGTGGATCTGTATGCACCATGCATGGTGCATACAGATCCACACGACGTCGTTTTAGCCTAATGACGCGGGGTTTTATAAAAAAAAAAAAAAAATTCCGTTAACGGCGTTTACTTCCTTTTGAGTTTGTTTCCAAGTTTCAAACTCGATCGTTGGCAGTTGTTCGCTGTGGTATTAGCATTCGATATCACCGGAATCGCGATCGCAATCTCAATCGCATTCGCAAATCGCAATCGCAAATCGAAATCGGAGTGGGGATCGGGAATTACAAAGTGATTGCTAGATGGAGGATGGAACAGAGCAGACGAATTCCGCAGTTGGTGATTGGCATTCGATTCAAGGTGATCTTGTTATTGTTTTTGCAATTGTTCCTTTTGGTTTTTTGTATGATTATGTGATTAGCAGTGATGTTTGTGTCTAGAATCTGCAAATAGTTGTGCAAAATCACGTAAGTAATTTCCATAATTGTATAACAACAATTTCAGAATTTGAAAACAATAATTCCATAATTTCATAACTATATTTCCAGAATTTCATGTCTATATATTCAGAATTAGGGGGTACTCTGTTTTGGCAGTTTGTTGCGACTGTGTATCCAGAATTGTATAACTATATTTCCATAATCATATAACTATATATACAGAATCTGTAAACACTCTGTTTTTTCTGTTTGATGAACTGTTTGATGAACAGTTTGAATTAATGTTCACCATGTCTATATAATGTAGTTAGTGAAGGCATTGTGGATGGTTCAGTGAGTTCAGATCAAGTAGATGTAGATGTTGATGGATCTTCATCAATTCCAGGTTTATTCATAGTGGTTTACCTTTTAATTAGCAAATTCTGGTTAGGAATTATATGTTAATGGAAATGGTTATTATTGTGTTATATTTGCAGTTGATCAAGATTTGGTTGGTTTGGTAGTAAGTAATGCTGATGAGGCTTTTGAGGTGTATAACAGTTATGCATATAGACTTCGTTTTAGTGTGAGGAAGGGTCATCAACGATACAAGGGATCTTCGAACACAATTCAAATGAAGAAATTTTGTTGTTCTAAGGCTAGTTATAAAGCTAACAGTGGGGTTAAGGCTTATTCCAAAATTGACACAAGGATAGGGTGTAGAACGTTTGTTCAATTTGACGTGGGTGATGATGGGTTGTGGACAGTTACAAAACACGAGAAAGTGCACAATCACGAGTTATGTGTGTTCAACAAGAGTCATCTACTTCGTTCACATAGGAGTGTCGGAGATAATCAGCTCTTATATTTACAAGGTTTGAAGGACAGTGGTGTTGCATTGGCAGATGGTATTAGGTTCCTAAAACACCAATCAGGGGGGTCCCCTTTAGTTGGTTTCACCAGTAGAGATGCTTATAATTCAATGGCTGCGGATACTGTCAAGTGATTGGATGGAACGGATTCTAACTCTTTAATTGAAATTTTTAGGAGGAGGCAGTCTACCGAGACTGATTTTTTCTTTGATTTTGAACTTGATTTGGATGCAAGGTTGTGCAGTTTTTTTTGGAGGGATGGTCAAATGAGACGAGATTACGAGGTGTTTGGGGACTTGTTAGTGCATGATACGACATATCGCACAAACAAATACGATATGATTTGTGGCCCTTTCGTAGGGATGAATCACCATTGCATGAATGTAATGTTTGGATGCGGGTTTTTGATGAACGAGTGGATAGAATCGTTTGTGTGGTTGTTTAAAGCGTTTTCAAGATCAATGCGTGGCAAGTCTCCGCAGACTATTATGACAGATCAATGTGCAGCTATGGCTGCTGCTATATCTAAAGTGTTCCAACATCACGTCATCGTCTTTGCATATGGCATATCGGTGAGAATTCAAAGAAGCATATCAAGACGTTAAGGAACAATAAGGATTTCTTGGATATGTTTAACTACGTGTTGAAATACACAGAGACTGAAGCTGAATTTCAATTCTATTGGACAAGGTATGTTAGTAATTAATCGTTTTTATTGCATTACGTTTCATATGCATATGAATTATGGATGTATAGTTTAACTATTATGGATGTATAGTATAGTAATTATGGATGTATAGTGCATCAATTATGGATATATAGTATTTCGATTATGGATATATAACAGTTGAACTTTAGTGGTGGTGCCGGAAAATGTAGTATATGGATTATGGATATATAGTATTCCGATTATGGATATATAGTATACCGATTATGGATATATAGCAATAGAAATTCTGAGTTTGTGTTAGATGTGGTGATGCTGCTTGTTAATATTCTGCTTCATAAACATTTGGGATTTTGTCTTACCATTTTCAGGTTGGTGACTGACTATAAATGTCACAAGAATACTTGGTTAGAAAAGCTATATGATTGTAGGGAGAAGTGGTGTCCAGCATTTAACAAGGACTATTTTTCTGGGGGCATTCTATCATCACAAAGGAGTGAAACTACAAATCATTCGATTTCTAGAAGGTTGTCCAAGACAGCGGGTCTTTGTGATTTCTATTCATCGTTTGTAAGCGTAATTTCTGAATGGAGAAGTAAAGAGAACGGTGAAGACTTTCGGTGTGCTCAAGGGGTACCCGCTATGATGATGGAGCATGTGAAACTTCTTTCACATGCTAGAGAGGTATACACGATTGAGATATATTTTCTGTTTGAGGAACAATTCATGAAAGGCAGTGCGTGTCATCAAGAGATGGTGTTGAATGATGGCCGTCAACAGAAGTATCATGTGTGGCGGCCAGATATAGATATTATAAGGCATGAGGTAGTTTTAACGCAGTCAACTTGGACATTTCTTGTAGTTGCAAGTTGATGTCTGAGTTGGGAATTCTATGTTGTCATTGTATACGCATTCTTCACGTACATTGTGTTTCTAGTATTCCCGACAAATATATACTTAAAAGATGGACTAAAAAGGTTATTGATGGTAGGAATGTCAACATTGATTCTATGGTTTATAATGTCGGTGTTCCTCCATCAATTTGGGTGTTCGATATTAGTAGAAAATTTCAAAGATTAGTTGTGTCTAGTCAAGATAGCAGCGTAGCTAGGAAACTGTGTGACGAGGCTGTTGATGATGTAAAGAAAAAGGTTGAAGCCGAGGTTGGGCATGTGCATATTGAAGAGTGTGGTGTTTCATCTTCAAGTGGTGGTGTTCAAAATCCTTCAAGCCGGAGATTGAAAGGTGAGCGTAACAAAAGGAGGAGTGGTGTTATTGAAAAGAAGTACAGTCTTGCAAGGGGAGAAGGAGTGCTGCAAATAAAGCTGCATTGAGTACAAATGGTGCTGTTCAGTCTTTGGTGTTGGAAAACATATCCAAGCTTGCTGGGGATGGATACCTTGTACATCCAAGTTCTTCAAGTTCAGATTTTGTTCAGTTTAGTAAGGGTTTAGATGACAATGTAGGTGTAGATTGAGAAATACAAGTTGTTATCATTGATTTTATGCAATTATGGACTTTTAGTTTTGTAATTCTGGATATGTAGTTTTGCAATTATGGAACTATAGTTATGAAATTATGGAATTATAGTTATGCAATTATGGAATTGTAGTCATGCAATTATGAAAGATATGCAATTATGAAATTATAGTCATGCAATTATGAAAATATAGTTATGCATTTATGCATGTGTAGTCCCCATTGTGATGGAATTTGTAGTTATGAAATTGTGGTGTATAGTTATGCAAGTATGGATGTATAGTTTTGCAATTATGGTATTATTGTTACGCAATTATGGAACTATAGTTATGCAATTATGGAATTGTTTATATGCAATTATGGAATTATAATTATAAAATTATGGAATTATAGTTATGCAATTATGGAACTATAGTTTTGCAATTCTGGATTTATAGTAGTCATGCAATTATAGATTTGATACATGAAAACAAAAAAAAAAGTTAAGAAAAGAAAAGAAAAGAAAAGAGAAAGAGGTGCATAGATCAGATGTAAATTGTTATTCAGCTATTAACATCATGCATTCACATTCACAAAATACAAGTCACATTGTCAGTGTAGTTCACAAAAACTTTCTAATTGTTTAGAATTCAGTCAACATGTTGAAGAATATTCATTCAATTCTTCTTCGAAACTCTTTTGGCCGCTTGCAGAACCTCCCCCCTGACTTCATTCATTCTCCACTTTATGAGGTTGGCAGCATATTTCGCTCGCAGTTCACACATGAAGCTTGCCTATAATCAAAGAACATTAAGTAATTAGTCATTTGCAGTTTTATTTATTTTTTAATGTATTTTGAAACTATAATATGTATGGTAGTCTTACATTCAAGCGCATATTTTTCTTGAATCCTGGCTGCCAGTCTTGTAGAGTCCCTCGGAATGTCTCCATATGCCGGAGTACATAGATCCCGCAATCAGTGACGTTTTTAGTGTTTGCCCAGTCCAACTTAAGGTACTTTATATCAACTTTTTGTAATTTCACATACAAGGAGTGACACTCGGCCTTAAGGTAACTACTGAATGCTTCAATCTGGTCAGAAAAGTTAATTTAGTGTTAATAATGCTTTTAAGTCAATAGATAGGTAATGGTAAGAATGTCAAGTTTTTTTTTTTTTTTTTTTTATCAAAATTACCAATAAGTGTGGGCAGTTGCCATATTTGTCCTTCTCCGAAACACCAGCTGGTAACTCCTTGTTGTCAATGACCTGTACTTTATGTTCTTTCACATTGAAGCAGACCAAGAAGTAGTGACCATGGCGATGAACTGCGAAAAATATCTAATTCCAATTCAAAGTTAAAGCAATGTTAGTATTTTTTTGGACATGATAAAGTCAAATTGGACATGGGTAATAGAACTTACCAGATCTGCATCACTGATGTCTAGGTTCCCGAAGCTGGTTATTTCATAGCTCAATCTCTCATTGAAATTCTTCATTTTTATGTGAGTTGGGAGATCCTTCATCCACTGGTCATTGGGATCAATTTGAAGCTGCACATACAAATGCAGGAATGAGTAGTCATAATCCAAATAATATTTGTTGAAAATGTTAAAGTTATACATACAGAGTTATATATATACATTTCCAGAATTGTACAACTATAGTTCCATAATTGGATAACTATAATTCCATAATTTCATATAAATAATTCCATAATTGCATATAACCAATTCCATAATTGCATAAGTATAGTTCTATAATTGCATAACTATACTTCCAGAATTACAAAACTATAAAACCAGGGGTTCACAGGTACACATCCAGAACTGAATAACTACATATCCATAATCTAAAAACTATATATTCATAATTTGTGAACACTTACATGTACTAGGGTGGAGAAGTAGACCCGCTTTGTTTCCCCAACCGCACGGGGCATGTTCAGCAATGTAAAACGTAGGGACCAGACATCTAGGAAGCTGCTCAGTAGCTCACCATTGCACATAGTTGCAAAATCGTCCCTTGTCAAGTAGTAATCACCATATTTGAACAATGTCTCTCTATAATACAGTAAATAAATAAATATAAGAACATAAATTAATGAATAAAATTTAAGTAAAATAGGTGGATGGAAACATACCCTCCCGGGTGCTCACTTGATGCTTCCAAAAATGCGTAGTTTGAAAAAACCTTTTCTTTGGGAGTTGCATTATTGATGGAGCCTTTGTTCTTATTCCAATATGGTGACCTCAAATGAAGCGGGATGTTCCTGAATTTGCGCACAGGTCTCTTTCTCACAGTAACATCCTCAACATCAGATTCACTTTCTTCCATAGCCCTGTTGTCCAGAAAAAAACAGAGGCAGTTCATAACCCCACAAGTATAATTCCAGAATTGTATAACTACATTTCCATAATCTATAAACTATATGTCCATAATTTGAGAAATACATATCCATAATTGTAAAGAAATCAACGTCAATAGTTGAATAAGAATATATTCATATTAATCAAACTTAATATTCATAATTATTGATGAATTGAAAACCATATTCATAGTCTAAATCTGCATAAGAAAGCAGTAACCTACTTATCAAATTCATCAATCTCAGCAGCAGCTTGGGCAGCAGGGGTAGTAGGAGTGGTGGATTTTTCGAATGGCACTCTGATTAGTAATGGAGTTGCTTCCTTCTTTGTTGAGGTTGATACTCCTGCACTCCTCACAATGTTATCCACCAAGGTGTCCAAAGGCTGCTGTTGAGATGGTGGTGGGGTTGGTGTAGAGCGTCCAAGTAGCTCAAACGATGGGACTTCTATTTCCATTTCCTTTCTTGTTTTTTCAAAAGCTGCTACCAGAGAATCAACTGCTGATGTGAAGCTTTCACTTCCGAAGAAGATGTCATCCAATTGCGAGGCAGTTGGGCTAGGAGTCGGTTGAATTGTGCTTGCAGCACTCAGCATTGTTGATATTCCTGAAAAAGCCCTCTTCATGATTTCAACCGGGGCCCCTTGCTTGCCAATGTCAGACATGACCTGACCGAACTCAAGGACATCTGCTGTAAGCCGTTGAAGCACATTTGTTACTCGGTCAACATTTGTCAGAGGCACAGATGGAGTTGGAATAGTTGGTGTAGCAGCAGGGCTGGACACTGGCCTTGGTATTGCAGCAGGAGGAGGTGCAGGTCGGGGTGATGATGTAGATGCAATGGCAGTAGGTCTCTGAAATTGAGGGATAACTTTGCCCTTACCAAAACCCCCTGATTTTATCTCAGCCGATACTCGCTTGCGTACAAGGCTTTTTGTCCAAGCTTTTATTGCTGGGAATGTGCGGTTGACGGTCATGCCTCTGAACTGTACTCGGTCAAAGTAAAAGAGCTTCAAGAATTACAGAAGAGTATGTTAAGGAATTGAATAACTACATATTTAAAATTGTATGGATACACATTCTTATTTGCATAACTATAATTCCATAATTATAAAACTACATATCCAGAATTGCATATCTATAATTCCATAATTGCATAACTATAATTCTATAATTAGATGACTATAATTCCATAATCCATAAACTACGCATCTATAATTGAATAACTATAATTCCATAATTGTAAAACTATTATTCCATAATTGGAAAACCACAATTCCACAATTACAAAACTACACATCCATAAGGGCATAACCACACATACAGAATTGCATATCTATGATTCCATAATTGCATGAATATAATTCCATAATTAGAACATTTTATGTATAATGGGATATTACCAGGATGAATACCATTGGACCTCCAAAGGATCTGGTAGGAGAGTCTTTGTAAATGTCATACGAATCAATTAAAGACTTGTACGTGTACTTGCACCAATTAAGTCTTGAGATTGCCCGGATGTTGAGCAATGACTTGATAACTCGATAGTTGGCATATCTTCCAGTATTTCCCCGGAGCAGAGATGAGACAGCAAACACCACAAAGTCTCTCTTGAAGGCATCTCCATGGTCACCTCTCCTGATTATTTCATCAGGCATCTTTGTTGTTATGGGTGACCCTGACCTGACATTCCATCTTTTCCTCCACTCAGTCAGGTCCTTATTATATGCAACTGTAGAATTTTCCTCACTCTTTGTACCTTCCTCAACATCTCTCTTCCCCCGGGGGAGTCCCAAGATGTATTCAACATCCTCTTCACCGACATGTAGATGGTCACCATCCAATATGAAGTCTGATTTGAAAACATCAAACCTTTGCAGGAGATACTCAACAAGTTGTGAGTAATTGCTTGAGAATTGTAGGTGCAGCAGCCCTCCAAAACCCATATCAATCACAGCATCCTTTTGGTCTTGTGTTAGACGCTGGACAAGGTCATACATTTGCTTGGGACCCATTCGTGTACTGAAGTAATTCACATCAGGGTCCCGTACTCTCTCTCGCTTTTGTGGTGGTGCCCTCTTTCTTTTTACAGCTGCTGGTTGTTGCCTTGTCGAAGGCTCTGCTTGATCTTCCTGGGCAGGGGTGAGTTGAGCAGCTTGTGAGCTCAATACTGCTCTGGTTGTTCTCTTTTTTACAGACTTCACAAATTGACCAAGCGTAGCGTCATCTGCCACACCTGACTCATCCATTTCTGCAAATAAAAAACATCAAGTGAGGTTAACAGAGTACTATATCCAAAACTTCATAACTACAATTCCATAAACACACAACTATACTTCCAGAATTGTAAAACTACAATTCCATAATCTCATAAGTATACCACAAGGCAAGTTATGCTAAAAAGGATTTGAATGCAATTTGGTGCACAGAGTAAGGTTCACAGAGTAATACATCCAAAACTGTATAACTATAATTCCATAAACGCACAATTATACTTCCAAAATTGTA